TTTGATTGCCTGCCAGATGTCAGTATTAATTGCACATGCATAAATGACACAAGTAACCCTAAGAAGAAACGAAAAGCACTTCAGCACTTGAAAGGCATTAAATCACTTCGGTATACGTAGCAATAGTTTCAAACTCTGTTCAAACATGTGTTTAAGCCTAGGGCCAAAAAATATGACAAAAAAACTCGATCAACAACTGGCAAAAAAGTTATAATTTTCCCCTGCTTTCTCGCACACGATACATGGCGTCACATGAGTGTGCACTTAAAATTCTTGTCCAAGGTTGTAAAAGCCAGTCTTTGATCGAGGACTGCTTGAAAACCTACCATACAACCCATGATGAAATTTTCACAGTTGATTTGTAGCGGTGAATCATGTTTAGATTCAACATTTTTGAAAAATCTGTAAAACAGATTTTGAGCTATTTTTGATTTCACATTTTCTTAGTTTGAAAAAAGTCTGTCTTGCAGATTTTCATTTTACTTTGCATGAATGTTAAATCANACCATACAACCCATGATGAAATTTTCACAGTTGATTTGTAGCGGTGAATCATGTTTAGAATCAACATTTTTGAAAAATCTGTAAAACAGATTTTGAGCTATTTTTGATTTCACATTGTCTTAGTTTGGAAAAAGTCTGTCTTGCAGATTTCATTTTACTTTGCATGAATGTTAAATCAGAGCCAATTTCTTATTCCTGAAATTTTGAAGTGGGGTCATAAGGGTAGATTTTGAAAAAAAGGTGATTTAACCTACTAGTCCCCGGTATCTCCTTAGGTACTCGGTCATTCATTTTGACCACTTGTTGACGCTTAATTGTTGAAGGTTCACATAAAATAGTAAAAGACTTAAGCAAACAGTAAATAGAGATTGGAAAAACATCTTGGAACATTTTTCAAAAGAGTTAGAAATTGGGCTATTATAATCCATCCAAACTGTAGTAAGCCACCTGAATAACTTTTTTGGGGGGAGGGGGGCATTGAGGAGATAAATTATTGGTAATCTCCTGGACTTCAATTACTTTATGTTGGTATCT